TTTTTTTTGAAATACGAAAATATAAAAGTATTATTAATAAAAAGGTATTAAAAAAAAGAAGAATTCTTTTCGCGAGGGTCTTTAATGTAGGGTTATTATTTAGAGAATTTCGACTTACTTTGCCTTGTAATAATAATAATTATTTTTATTTTTATGATTATTGAAATTTTGGCCCACATAATAAGGATAAGTGAAATAATGTTATTATAAAAAAATAAAAAATAATTTAAATTAAATTTCCAATTAAAAAAAAAAGAGTGACGAAGAGGGTATTAGAAAGGGGGTTCAGAAAAAAGTTACCAAATAGTTTCACATTACAAAAGTTTAGGGAACTTATTATTAGAGTTTGCAATTTTATAGTGTTATTTGTTTTAAATTGTAACATAAGAATATAAAATATAAATTTTTTTGATGGAGAAGATTTTTAATATTAGCAAACCTATATCTTATTTAAAGATGATTGTTATGAAGTTCAGAATAATTTAGATTATAAAATTGTTTTTCACTATTATTATTAGAAATTGTGTGAGAAAAAAATATATGCAACTTTACCTATTTAGTGTTTATAGGTATTGATATTGAGTGCCTAAAATAGTAAATATCAAAATAATTTTGTAATTTTTTAGAGAAACAAAGAAGCTATCTATTGTTGTAGGTTTTATTTTTTACCGTCTAGCAACTATTTATTGTTTGAGTTTTTGTTTTTTATCTATTTAGAGTCTTTTTTTTTTTTTTTGAAAATAGGTTTCTATTTAGAGTCTTATTTTAACATGTTGTAAAAAGCTATATTAAATGAGGTGGTTCCCCTTACTTTATTTGAGGAATTATTTTGTGTAATAAAAAAAATATTTTATAACCTAAATTACATAATTTTAATTATTAAATAAATTGGGTTCTTAACATTCCTAACTTTTTTTTTATTAATATTTTTATATTTTATAATATAATATAATTTGAATTATAAAATAAAAAACTTTAATGCAATTTGGCATAAGTTGGATCTTAACAAAACATTTTTGATTGTTCTAACCAAGTGCAACCAAATTGGACTGACAGCCACTCTGGACTGAAAAAAATTCGTTTAAAGCATAACTTGAATAGAAAATTAGTAAATTTTTTTTTATTATTTTCTCAAAAAAATTTGACATTACCAAAAAAGGAAAAAGAGTATGTCTAAATTACACAATTGTCCTTAGAAGTACCCCTCGTCTCCCCGCTATACATAAGAGCTCTTCCGCATGGAAAGGGGGAAAAGCCACCACTAGCGCCACGTTCCACCACCACCTCAGCCTCTCCGTTCGCCACCGCAATTTATTCAAAATTACAACAATAATATCTCCATTTATCTATATACCCATATCCATTTTCACTTTCCACTCTTGCTTCCCTTCTAAAACCCTAATTTTCGATCCCGTATAATCCTTGATCTTCTTTCTCTTTTTCTCTTGCTCCCTTCAAAACCCTTTATCAGATTCTCGTATCTGTTCGATACAAGATCTGGGTTTTTCTTGATTGGGGAGGGGAGATAGGAAATAAGGTTTTTTAGGGTTTGTGTACGGTCAAGGCTGGCGGGTATTCGGGTCAAATAAATGGCGGATCCGCCAGGATTCCGCCCTAATTGGATTGTTTTTCCATTGAGGATGAAGAGGAAGCTGAAAGGCGAAGTTTGGCATTGGTTCTGTTAGTGTTACGGAGTGCGCTGACGGTTTTGTAGAGTGACTGACGTAGAGAGATAAAGTATGCTGAGCGTGCTGAGGGTGCACCTCCCTTCTGATATCCCCATTGTTGGCTGCGAGCTTACCCCCTATGTCCTCCTGGGCCGACCCGATAAGCCTGTCACCACCGATGATGTGCCTGAGTCTGCCCCTCTTGATGGTCACTTCTTGAGGTACAAGTGGTAAGTATCGTTTCTTGAAAGAACTTATCTATTTGGCTTCTTCGATTGATTTTTGTGTATTTTGGTTACTCTTTTTTTTTTTTTTTGGGGGGGGGGGGGGGCAATCTTTTAGTCATTTTTTTTTTTTTTAGCTTGCATTTGAGTGTGGTATTACTTCTTAAATCTATAGTAAAAATGCCATCTCTTTTGATGTAGTTTAGATATTCTATGTGGCTCTGGAATTAATTATTATGGTTGAATTTAAAGTCTTTTGGGTCTTTTTGGTTGTGAATTTTTAGATAAAGTGGTGATGGATAGCTTAATTTTTGTTTGTGGTCGTTCTGTTAAATTTTACCCCTTTTAATTTTTAATTTTTAATGGCCTTTAGACATAGAAGTTTCTAGAATCCAGTTCTGGAATTGGCATTTGTGCCATTTTGTTTTCTCTGCTTGCAGTTGATTGCATTGTTCAGGTAAATTTGAATTTCTGTCGTTCAAATATTTGTCAGTGCCTGCCATAATTATTACTTTCTCCATGAATTAGTATGCAGGAGGTTTGGTATGATAAGTAGTTGATGAGCCAAATGATGTAGAAATTAGGTTTTATGAGTTAGAATATTCTATCACAATGACAACTGTTATCCGTTCATTTTTTGACATGGTTACCACACCCCTGCCAAGTGTGGAGATCTCTTATATGTTTGAATGTAGCAAGAAAATTCAGGGTGAATGAAAAACATAAAGAATTGGGGAAACAGCAGTCTTGCTGCGTAGGCTTTAGTGCTTTACATATAGCAGCACATAATAGGTGTTTTGGAGGAATCTATTGTGTTTCCCACATTGTTAAATTCCTCTGTTTGAAATAGAATATACCTGTGATGAGAGGTCTCAACCTTGAAATTATGTAGCTAGCCAATGACTTTCAAATGTACATGTGGCTCTAGGTTGTCCAAAAGTGTTTTCTGTAGAAGCTGTTTGGAAGTTAGGCATTTTTTGTGTCTAGAATGAAAATTGTTTGAACCAATTAGCTTCAATGTGAATCCCTACAATAAAAAAGGGGTTTCAGTCTGAAAAAAAAAAAATATATATATATATATTAGAAATACCTAATTGCAGAGAAGGGGATAGAATTGTATGTCAATTTTTAATATATCTTTCTTACTTTCTTTCTCGTTGCCTGCAGAGGGAGAACTCTGGAGCAACAGTTCCAAAAATGCTTTTTTGTACTAAATATTTTTTAAGTCAATAACCAATGATAAAATATAATGTCATTAATTGTTTGTGCTAATCTACATAAAGAACTGATTTTAAAATGTGGTCTCATTAATTTAGTTATACACTATTGAATGGTTATGAGCTTATATATTTTTTTTAGTATACTGCTATCCACCAAAAATCTAACCTTTGGAGGACATTGGTATTGTCATCAAAAGGTTCTCATTTGATTTTGTTCTTTGATTTTGGGGCTGTCATTTATACATGGTATTTAGTTGGTCTGAAACTTGAAGTTTAGCCTGTAACATATTGCTGTTTCTTGAGTTTGTTTTGCAGGTATCGTATACAGAGTGATAGAAAAGTTGCTATCTGTAGTGTACACCCCTCCGAGCAAGCCACATTGCAGTGCCTAGGTTGTGTTAAGGCCAAAATACCTGTTGTTAAAAGTTATCATTGTTCTCCAAAGTGCTTCTCAGATGCATGGCAGCATCATCGCGTTCTACATGACCGAGCTGCAAGTGCTGTAAATGAAAATGGAAATGAAGAGGAAGAGATATTTGGTCGTTTCAACAGCACAGGATCTGGAGTTGCTAGCTTATCTAGCTCAGCATCAAGCACTAGCTTGTCTAATGGTTCAACACCTTTATATCCTGCTGCAGTTACCCAGAGGAGTGGTGGTGAAACCTGGTTTGAAGTTGGACGTTCTAAAACATATACACCAACAGCAGATGATATCGGCCACGTTCTCAAGTTTGAGTGTGTTGTGGTAGATGCTGAGACCAAAGTACCTGTGGGTCATCCCAATACTATTTTGACTTCTCGTGTCATTCCAGCCCCTTCCCCTACTCCCCGTCGCCTAATTCCAGTGAGTGGAGTTGATGTGATGGGCCATCTAGATGCAGATGGTCGCATTTCATCGACTGGAACTTTCACTGTGCTCTCATACAACATCTTATCTGATTCATATGCCAGCAGTGAATTATACAGCTATTGCCCTTCCTGGGCTCTTTCCTGGCCATATCGCAGACAGAATTTATTGCGGGAAATTGTTGGGTATCGTGCAGACATTGTTTGTCTTCAGGAGGTAATAATTTCAATTATTTTGGTTGTTTCTATAATTGGTTTTAATTCCCATGTTGCATTTTTCAGAATATATGGCCAAACCTTGTTATTGAACAAGAGGATGGCACTAGTGTTAAGCATATCCAACAAATATTATATCAATTTTAAACTTCTACTATTTTATTTTTGGTAGAAATGAAGCCTTTATTCTCTTTCAGATGCCACATAACTTACTTTCTTTATGCTAAAAGGAACTTATACTTTGTGTAACTTGCCTCTGTAATTGTGTTCTTCAACAGTAAAGATTTCATGTGCGAAAAGGAAATTGCCTTTAAAATTTTTATCATTTTTGGTAAATCAAGGAGTAAGCTGAATACTGATGAAGTTATGAGGTTAAGCATCCCTTTAATAGAAACTCCTTTCCTTTTTTCAGGTGCAAAATGACCATTTTGAGGAGTTTTTTGCTCCTGAGCTGGACAAGCATGGCTATCAAGCCTTATATAAAAGGAAAACAAATGAGGTTATTTAAGATCTCCATTCCTATTTCACTGGCTTAGTTTGTATATAATATTTATTTATTTATTTTCTTTGTATCTATTAATATTGTTTTAAATGCAGGTTTTTAGTGGAAATCCCCACACAATTGATGGCTGTGCTACTTTTTTCCGTAGAGATAGATTTTCACATGTCAAAAAATATGAGGTTTGGAGGTCTTTCAACTGCATGATATTGACTTTGTAAATCTCCTATTATGCCAAAGTGATGTATCCCTGTCCGCAGGTTGAATTTAATAAGGCTGCTCAATCCTTGACTGATTTTGCAATTCAAAGTACCCAGAAAAAAGCTGCTTTGAACCGGTTGGTGAAGGTAGTAAATTTTATATAGTTTTTCTTGTCTATATCCAATCTATTGAGATTGATGCTTTCTTAATTGTGATAGAAATGGAATATTTTCTTATCAGGATAATGTTGCATTGATTGTGGTTCTTGAAGCAAAGTTTACTAACCAGGGAGCTGATAATCCTGGCAAGCGGCAGCTTCTTTGTGTGGTATGAATTTTCATCAGTATTATATGATTTAACATGCATGCTAGTTAGTTCTAGGCTTTAGTTTCTAGCCTTTGTATCATATGCCAGTGTATCACTGGATGTACCATGGGTGATTGCAGTATCATGTGATTGGATAGATATGAAGAGGGGGTTAGAGCAATCATGGACTAGTTTGTAGATAAAGCATGAACCCTAAAGATGGTGTCATTGTGCTTGGCCTGTTCTGGATTTAAGTGAGAATTTTCTGATATTCTTTGAGGAAGCTGGATATTTTTGTAAATTCATAAAAATTAACTCATTTATTTTGTTGATATTACTTTCTTTATTTGCTGGTCTTTCATATATTCTCTCAATGCATCATTTAACTCTTCTTGTATTCGTTGTTTTGGAATACAGGCAAATACACATGTCAATGTTCAACAGGATCTAAAAGATGTAAAGATCTGGCAGGTATGAATTTCTATTTCATCTGTGTCTTTATCTATTCTCGTTCTTAAAAGTATCAATAATTTAGTATTTCTTAATTTTATATTAGGTGCATACACTCTTGAAAGGACTGGAAAAAATAGCTGCTAGTGCAGACATTCCAATGTTGGTATGTGGGGATTTCAATTCCGTTCCTGGAAGGTATGTTCATTATTTTCAATACATAATGATACACTCTATTCCAACTTCAAGGCATTTCACTTCATGTTAGCCTGTTGCGTAATTAAAGGGCACTGAACTTCTATGTAGTGCTCCACATGCACTTCTTGCCATGGGAAAGATAGACCCAATGCATCCAGATTTAGCAGTAGATCCTCTTGGGATTATACGCCCACACAGCAAGTTGGCACATCAACTGCCACTGGTAATGTTTCATACTTTATTGGATGTTTACTAGTTTGTCTATGTTTGGTGGCCTTCTGTTCTCCCTTTCCCTTTCATTTTAGTTTAACATGCTTGGGAGTGTGTTGTGATATAGCGCGTACTACTTGTTTTAGAGGGATTCTGTCACTTGACAAAGTAATTTTTTACAGGTCAGTGCCTACTCATCCTTTGCAAGGCTGGGTGTTGGTCTTGGATTGGAGCAGCAGCGGAGGAGAATGGACCCCTCAACAAACGAACCGTTATTCACAAATTGCACAAGAGATTTTATTGGCACTCTAGATTACATATTTTACACAGGTGAAGTTCTTTGCATATGTGTTCTAACAAAAGATGCACATGCAGACTCTCCATTGTTGCCATTTCCCCAATATTCACTGTGATTGATTTTTGCTTTGAATTTTAATTGCCCATACTAACACAAAGAATTGTCTATATGCTTTCAGCTGATTCTCTGACGGTGGAGTCCTTATTGGAACTCTTGGATGAGGATAGCTTGAGGAAAGACACGGCTCTTCCTTCCCCAGAGTGGTCCTCAGATCATATAGCACTTTTAGCCGAATTTCGCTGCATGCCTAGACTTAGACGCTGACATTCCAGGTAAGTTTCCCTTTCTCGGCAGTAGTGTGGGTCTTCAAGTTCTGGTCTCTCTACTCGTTAATACACATCTGGTTATGGGAATCAGGTCTGGAAATGCCCTGGAAAACGGGAGGGAGAAGCTCATGATACAGAAAAGTTACTGTAAGAATGGTAGATGACCCGCTCTGTGCTCTTACTCAAAGATCCCATGATCTACTTTGTATTATGTCGCCTTTGTTTCATAGAAAAATCATGGTAATGGCTTATCAAATTCCCTTTTTCCGTTGCCGATAGAAATGCCCAGTGGTTCAGTATATTTAGTTGCTGTCGTGTACTTTAGTTCTCTGTGCAAAGCATGTGGTTAGAGGAATGCGATTGCATGCCCTTCCATCTTTTGCCCCATGTTGCTTGCCCTTTTTCTTGGTTGAGGAATAAAATTTAATTTCTTAGCGTGCACTCTTATTTTCTTGTTTCTTATCTGCTACCAAAATCTTGTTAAAGATGGATGAAATGAAAGGCTCCACTCCACCACCGCCCCCCCCCACCAAAAAAAAAAAAAATAGTTGGTTCTTTCTTTCTTTTTAAGTGAACAAGATTACAAGAACGAAAATTTATTGCGGAGTTTAGATTGTATTGAATTGTAAAATAATAGATTCTTACAATTAAGCAAAAAAATTGTTTTTTGATTATGTTGAGATGTAAAATATGAATCATTAAATGAAAGAAAGAATTTGTAATACCAAGGAATATGTACTCTTTCAATAATTAAAGTTATGTAATATAGAATAGTTTAAATTAGATAATACTTGAAAAAAAAAATAAAGTCCTTCGAAATAATTCTTCCTTGTTTACTTGTTGTCAATGGTCATCTTCACGCAATTTGGACTTGTAAATTTAATGATCCAACAACCAACAGCAGTAAGAGCTTAACTGAGTTAGTTTTCATTACCAAAATCCTTGATTTTGATTTGTCTAAGAAGGTCAGCCATTTCAACCATGAATTTAGTTTTAGAGTGGCATTACAGAAGGAAAAGAATTGAATTCAACGGTCAGGAAAAGAAAATTATTGGGAAAAAGTTGGGCTTGTACATGGCAAATAGGTGAATCAGAGTTCCATTATCCTGGGTTACAGGTTAAATGGTTTAAGTCAAAGAGGTTTATGCTAGAAACAGCAACTCATGGCCCACTCACTTCATAAATCTGCAGATTGTAACCACACCCACGTGGGTCATGCGTAAAATGAGTAGGATTAAACGAGTTTGTAGTTCAAGAATCCTTAATCATGAATCATGACCCATTTTAAGTGGGCGAGTTGTAAAATGAGCTTGCCGTATCTAGCTTAGGTTCAATCTTCAGTCTCCAGCCTCCAGGCTCTCAGAAAATGGAAACATTCTGATAGTTTGACCCTCAATCATCATCTTCCTGAGCTACCTTAGGATCATGTCTCACTGTGATTTGATTGAAGAAATGTAGCATATACTTACGCAACTGATGTTAGATACCACCTGATAAATGAAGATGTCTCAGATTTCCTCATCGTTGTTTCCCTTGGTTGCGGAGATTCTAAACTGGTCTCGAGACTCAGCAAATGCTCATGTTTTTGAGCAATTTGCCATGACATCATAAGTGGGTAATGGTGGTGGCCTTGAAGGCAATCATGCTACCTCTACCAAAATTGTATAGTATGTATCAATGATGGCCCCTACAATCATTCTTCATCATTGATATGTATTAAAAGTAAGATTCTTCAGCCACAAAGAACCAGGAAGATACATGTATCTTCTCAGGTTAATGATGAATTGATCAACACACTTGACCACCTGTTTATATCTATATAGGTTCTTCTTGTGCTCCCCATCTTCATGTTGAAGATAACTGTTTTCAGTTCAGCATCATATCATTACAGAAAAGCTGTTTAATAAGAACATAA